ATTGGCTCCACCCCATCCTGGCTTCCCGCCAGCCCCCTCGTGCTTAGCCTACCATGATGGTTCCTTCACGCCACCTCCATGGCCGTCTCCCCTCACAATGGCCCCCGCCCATCTCCCTGCTGGCCAGCCACCCAGTCTGGCTCCACCACCGCCAGCCTCCCACACCATCTTCCCTCTGGGCCCTCACACCCCGCCCTTCCCTGGCCCCTGCCCTGCCAGGGCCCCGCTGACTGCCCCTGCCCCCCACAGACGGGGTCTGTGCCTGGAGTGAGGAGGAGAGCAGGAACTTCGAGCACGGCTTCCGCGTGCACGGGAAGAACTTCCACCTGATCCAGGCCAACAAGGTGGGCTCGGGCACGGGTCCCAGCCGGCCAGGGGCCAGGCCGGGTGACGGGCTCACAGCAGGTGCCTCCCCACAGGTGCGCACGCGGTCTGTGGGCGAGTGCGTGGAGTACTACTACCTGTGGAAGAAGTCAGAGCGCTTTGACTACTTCACCCAGCAGACGCGCCTGGGTCGGAGGAAGTACGTCCCGTCCGGAGCCACGTGCGTGCCGCGTCGCCAGCCTCTGCCCAGCCCTCCCTGCCCCCCCTCCAGTGTCCCGCCCGCCCTGTCCCACGCTGTGTTCCTGCCCCAGCCCTGCCCTCCCTGCCCCATGTTGTGCCCCCGCATGGCCCCCTGTGGCTGCCTCTCATGGCACTCTCTGCCCACAGGGATGCCGACCATTACCTGGACAGTGGTGACCCTGATGCCTCCAGCCGCCCCCACTCCTCGCCACCCCCGCCCTCCACTGCCAACGGCCTGGGCCCTGAGCAGGATGCCCCGGGGGGGCTGTGCACAGGTGAGGAAGCTGTCCCCCCCCCCCCCGCCGGCTGTGTCCCCTGCCTCCAGGCCGCTGGCCTCGCCCTCAGCTGCCTTTCTTCCTGCAGAGCCACTAAGTGTGGACGGTGCCACCCGTGGTCTCGGCGGCCTTGATGAGCCTGGATCCGGAGGCCTCCCGACCTTGGAGCCCGGGCCCTGCCCTTTGCAGCCACTGGACCAGCCCCCTGCAGGGCCTCTGTCAAGGCGGCCCTCACCCCTGGCCCACCCGGCCTTCTTCCCCACGGGCCCGGCTGCCCCGGAGCCTGATGGCCGCCCACGACTGGCGGTGGACTTGGCCCTGCCTGGAGCCCTCCCTGAGGAGTTGCCCCTCATCTCTAGCCACGTGAGTCTGGACGGAGACTCTGCGGAGGTGGCTTTGTCAGTTGCAGAGTTCGGACTCATTGGCATTGGGGACGTGAACCCCTTCCTAGCCTCCCACCCAGCGTGCCCAGCGCCCGGGCTGCACACGGAGCCGCTGTCACAGTGAGTGCGACCCCTCTGCCCCGCCCCCTCAACACCCCTCGTCTTTCACCTCCCCCACACCCCATGGCTGTGTCCCCAGCCTGGGGGGTGGGGCAGCCTGTGCTGGCTCGAGTTGTGATTGGTTCAGCTTTTTTGAGTCGTTGTGGTTGGTTCAAAACCCTAAACGGTGTGTACAGGGCCGGCCTTAGCCCACCGGCCTGGGTGTCTGGAGGGCGCACTCACGATCCTGTCTTGCCTCTGCAGCTGCAACGTGATGACCTGTTGATTCCCGGAGCCGGGTGGCTCACAGCCCTCGCAGCTGCCACAAGCTCCCTGGACTGGACCTGGGCTGCCACCCTGGGCCGCCTCTGTCCATCTTCCCAACCCCTTCCTGTGGGCCACTGGACACCGCCTCTGATTCAGGGCGTGTCAGAGGCGGCAGGAGGGCCAGGCCTGGGCCCACACAGCGGGACTCTGGCTGCCTGGCAGTGCCCCACCCCCGGCAAGCTCCGCCAGACCTGTGGGGCTGCCGCCAGCGGAGGGATGCCCCGGGAGACGGCTGCATCGCGGCCACCAGCAGCCTGGGGCTTTGGCCGGTTCTTGTCCCTCACGCCACCGCGGGGGCCGGGTGGACAGCTGCTACTCAGTGCCAAACTCTGGGGCATGGAGCCATATACCTCGCTGTCCGGCCCCCCTCCCCCCACTTCAGGAAAAGCCGCACTTTACCCCCTCCGGCACTGCCACCACGCAGACCCGGGTCCCTCAGTGCCACGGGGCCTTCGGCAAACTGCGGGGCTGTGAGGAGGCGGGGGTTTACACCCTCCCTACCCCCCCCAGGGGCCGGCACCGCCCACTCCCTCCGGGGTCTTCTTTCTGTTAGATGCTCTCACCCACAAGGTGGCTGGGGCCTTTGTCCCCACCCCCGTTCCCATCCCTTAGTTTTGTTTGTGTTTCTGTTCCCACGTTGGAGGGGTGTCGGGTGGGCACCCAGCCTCCAGGGTCGTCAGGGGTTTCTGTGTGAGCCCCTTCCTCCAGAGTCGGGCTCGACCCCCACAAGGACCACACTGTGAAGTGACGACAGCTGCCTTGACCCCTGACCCCTGACCCCTGACCTCCTGCTGTTTATTTATTAAACTTGATTGGAAGCCCAGCCGCGGAGCCTCCTGCAGACAGGACTGGGCGAGTGAGGCCTTGGGGGGGCCGGACAGCGAGCAGACCCATGTGTTCACACACACCCTGAACCCCGCCGAGGGGCAGGGTGGGGGCGCTTCTGGGCAGGCCCTGAGGGCGATGTTCCGGGGGAAATACGGAGGAACAGTTCTCCTTGGTGAGCGCAGGGCTGCGGGTCTGTCAGAGATTGGGGGCGGGGCCCAGAGAGCCAGGTGAGGTGGCCAGAGTGGCTGAGGGCAGGGGGAGGTGGGCAGTTGGCCTGGGTGAGCCAGGTGTGCTGGGCAGAGGAGCTGGATCGGACCTGCATCAGTGTGGGCTGCAGGCTCACTCAGGGGGCCTGGGGAGCGGGTGGTGTGGTTGTCCTGAGATGGTGGGCGCTGGGTCCTGGGGGTGGGGTGTGCCCAGCTTTAGAACACCCTCATGCTTTAATCAGGGAGTTTGAATCTGCATTTTCTTGAGGTACTTCCCAGATGTTCGGCCTTCTACCTCCCGTTTCTAACAGATGCCACTCTCATCTTTCTCATTTTTTCTTCGATCACTCTTGAGACCATCTCTGATTTTGGCCAGCTTGGCATGTGTTGGTGTCCTGTCCATGTTCTCTGATGGCTCCATTGAGCCGTCTGGGCCTGTGATGTCTTATATAAGTTTTCTAAAATGAGATTTAAATACTGTGAAACCCAAGAAGGGGTCACCATGAGTCAGGTCCGACTCAAAGGCACATAACATAACAAATTTCAAATATAAGAAGCTCTGGTGGCACAATGCCTAAGTCATCTGACTGCTAAGCAGGAGGTCGGCAGTTCAGACCCACCAGCTGCCCATGGGAGGAAGATGAGGTGATCTGCTTCTGTAATTGGAAACCCAGTGGCGGGCGCTGCCTGTTGCAATTGACTCAGTGGCACTGGTTTGGTTTTGGTTTATTTCAAATACATCTCTGCTCCCCCCCAGTCTCTGTGGCTGCGTTATAGTGCGTTAGGCCACTTGAGGTGTGTTACACACACTAGTGCCCTCTGCACGTTTGTGCGTTCTCTGCTCCTCGCCTTAGTTCACTGGTTTGTTTTCAGGGTCCTGGAGGTTCCTTGCTGTGTTGCCCAGCCTGTCCGCCCATCCAGTGTGTCCATCTTGGCCTTTGTACTTTCATATCTCCAGTCTTACTTGGGCCTTTTCGTGTCTTCCTTGTCTTTTACTGAACGTGTCAGGCTGTAGCCAGGGCCTGTCTGGAAACGGGCGGCGTTAGTGGTAAGACAGGAGGTGCAAGGAGCTGTATCTCGGCCAGCCACTTCCTGGAGCCTCATTTCCATGGGCCAGCCTGTGTTGACACCTGGTTCTGGAGCAAGATTCCTGTCCATGCCTGGTCGCAGCTCAGCCCTGTGGGCCTGCCTTCCTGGTGTATGGTTCTGGGGTCGGGTTGACGGGTAGAATCCAGGGTACCTGTTAGGCCTGATTTGCAGATCAGCAGGAGAGCAGCGTCTTAGTGTGTGTTCCAGGCAGAATGTGGCCTTCACTGCGAAGTTACTTGTTGCCTGTCCGAGGTTCAAGTTCAACTGGGTGTCCTGTGTTTGATAAGCAATAGCATGATAAATGGAGAAAAGTTTGACGTCAGGGGTCACCTTTTACTGGGAGCCACAGTGGAAGCCCGTGGAGGCAGCAGTCAGGAAATAGACCAGCAGGCATGGGAGAGAGCTGTGGCTGAACGCGTCCTTCAGTGTTGAGGCGCAGAGGTGACTGAAGACTGGTGCGCCTGACCCAAGCCGTCCTATTTCCAGTAGCCTCCAGATGTGAGAGCTGGATAGTGAATAAGGAAGACCGGGGAAGAGTTCATGCGTTTGAATTGTGTTGGCAAAGAGCCCTGGATGGCCGGAAAAACGAAGAAACCCGCCTCCAAAGAAGGGCAGTGGAACGGTCCTTAGAAGCAAGAATGCCAGACTGTGTCTCTGTCCTCTGGCCGGTTGTCAGGAGGAACTTGGCAGAGGGTCGGCAGAAAAGGGGAAGGCCGCCCTGGGGACGGGACAGTGGCCGTAGTAGGGTGCCCTGCTTGAGCGTGGCAGGGGGTGAGGGCGCCGCAGGATGCGCTGCCGTATTTCCTTCTGTCGTGCTTGGGGTCACTACGGATCGGAACTAACTCGATGGCACCTGACAGCCGCCACCACGTGTGTTCCCTCGTCGGACCGACACCCTGCCCCCGTGCTGTCGTGAGGTGGACGCGGGGGTCGTGGGACCGACACGCCTGCCCCCGTGCTGTCGTGAGGTGGACGCGGGG